CCACAGGCAAAGCTTGTCTCAAAGACTACTGTTTCTCTCTTGGCAAACATGGTCAGTAGCTAAATTCTGTTCTGGTAATAGGAACTCTTTTTTTTTTTTCCTAGTATAATAGATCATGAACTCAAGGATTATGTTGAACTTTGAAAACTAACCTGTATTTTTGCTGACATTACTGTTTCATTTAAACAGGGAAACTTCAATACTAGTCATCAACAAGCACTACTAGCAGTTGAGGCAAGAGCTCAACAACTGAACCAAGAAAAGCAAAATTTCCAATCCCAGTTCATCTCAAATATTCAGCAGAGTACTACATCACGGGCAGACACAGAGCAGACAAGTGAACCCTCAAAGATGACATCTCAGAACATGGATGAGGATCCCAAAGGTATACCTGCTAGTACTGATAGACCCTCTTATGATGGCTATAATTGGAGGAAATATGGGCAGAAACAAGTAAAAGGAAGTGAGTACCCACGAAGTTACTACAAGTGCACGCACCCAAATTGTCCTGTGAAAAAGAAAGTTGAAAGATCATTTGATGGGCAGATCGCAGAGATTGTATACAAGGGTGAACACAACCATGCGAAGCCTCATCCTCCTAAACGCAATTCATCAGGGACACAAGGGGCAGGACTTGCATCTGATGGAACTGGTCAAGACGCGAACAATTCTTTATGGAGCAATCAACAGAATGAAAGGAATGAAGGCTCTGAAGGTAGATTAGAGAATGAGAATGAAGCAGGATTATTGACACATTCATCTTATCAGGGAAAAGTTTCAGTACCTTATGAACCAGTTGCAACAGGGGCAATTAATGCTGGTGGTGGAACTTCAGAAAATTCTTGTGGTCTTAGTGGGGAATGTGAGGAAGGAAACAAGGAGGGCGAGGATGAGGAACCCAGAAGTAAGAGAAGGTAAGAAATTAAGTAGAAATAGATTGGCACACCATTAAAATGAAAATTAGCTTGTTAGATAGATAGCAGAAATTGGACTAAGCTAATTTACTTTTGAACATGTTACTCAATGCTTTTCTCAGCTTTTGTGAATCAAAATCCTTCTCTAATGCATACATTGCTTCAAACTTACGCCTTACTGATATTTTATGCCTTTGTTTAAGCTGAACTCTGATTTGTTTCTTGTAGAAAAAGTGAGAATCAATCCAGTGAAGCAGGCATTTGCGGGGAAGGAGTCCAAGATCCCAATGTTGTGGTGCACAGCAACACAGATTCTGAGGTTTTGGGGGATGGATTTCGCTGGAGAAAATATGGGCAGAAAGTTGTGAAGGGAAATCCATATCCCAGGTTGGAACTAAACGACTTGTTTAAAGATACATTGTAGCTGATGGTTTTTTTTTTCCTAACAAAATTTGTTTTTGTCCTTCCTCATCCTTTTTTACTTTGATTGATGCTTGAATTATGTTATGCTATTGCATGATATCTCGAGTCTTTCCAAAGACTAATGGAGTCTGACCTCCCTTGAAACTGAACTCCAGATGCAACAGTCTGCAGCTAGCATAATTAGGGACGTCAGAATCTGTTTATGTTTAAGTTCATGATTTATTATGTTGCCCTTCTTTTTCTTACAGATTGCTTTAATCTGTCTCACAGGAGTTATTACAGATGCACAAGTCCAAAATGCAACGTGCGCAAGCATGTTGAAAGAGCATCTGATGATCCAGGATCTTTTATCACAACATATGAGGGGAAACATAACCATGAGATGCCACTTAAGAACACAGCTGCAGTGGCCTCTGAACCAGAATCACATGCCCGTACTAGTAAAGACAAGGCATGACTGCAACTAAGTAAGAAAATCATTTCCAAGACGGTTTCTGGTCTGAAGAAACTTTAAGTCAGAAGTCTGCCATTAATTCAGGCTATGAAGGCTTCTGATGAAGGCAGTTTTATATGGTAATTCAAATTATTAAAGGGTAGACATCCATTTCCTAAATTCTTCACCCCATGTTACCTGCCTTAAGCTTTTCAAAAAATTCTTTACTTTTCCATTTGTTTCCTACATAATATAATAACTAGACTTGCACATCCATATATTTGTGTGATATATGTGCACTTCTAGTTTTGTTTCCAAGTATTCTTAAACTGTCTTGTAAGAATCCTGACAGCTTCACAGTCTATGTTTCTTAAGTGAACCCTAACTTCACAATCTATATTATTAAGGAACATGGGAGATGAAACTTTTTGTTCTGTTTGTCTCTGGCTCTCTGCACTGTATCTGCTTCATCCTCTGCAGGTTTATTCCCTTCTCATTACAAGTATGTTTAGTGTCTGGCTCAATTCTTGAAGACAATTTCTTTACCATACAAATTAAAGCCCTGTTTGATACATTTTTAAGAAAAGGCTTCCAACTTTTCTAAAATTGATTTCAACCTCTAGAGATTAGAAGCCAAAACTACAAAATTTCATTTCAACCTGAACTTTCATGCTATTTCCTTAATGACATAATTAGTAATTTTGGTGCATAAATTGTAACTTTATCGTGCAATTTAACCTAAAAAAAAAAAGAACAGGAAAATCTTCACTAGTTTTATTTCTGTTTCACTTTAGAAAATTAGGAGTGATGGTATGCGGAAACCCCATTTTCTTTTAATAATTTTTATATGTTATTAAATAAATATATACATTATTACAAGTTTTAATTGACTATAAAGAACTAATCTTAATATTGTACGGTAGAGCTACAGTTCAAATATTACAATCTCATATGACAGATAATTTTACAATAAAATATAATGTGATATTAAGTAAATAAATATATAATATTATAAATAAATTTTTAAATAAAAAAATTAATTATGTAATGATATATTATATTATATATTTATATTGTCATATTACATTATACGTATAATATTTTTGAATATTGTATGAATAAAGTGTCTCTTAAACAATACGGTAAAAGTTGTAAAGATTCGAATTCAATTAATCAAATCAAATATGCGTTAAAAAACAAAATAAAATCAAATAAATAGTAACAAAAATCAAAATGGCGGGTTTTTATTGAGGGCCGTTGGTGACAGCTGTCAATTATGGAGTCAAGCAATTTATATTAAATTAATATATATATTCCAGCAGGGCAGACTTCCGAGATGTGAACTGATTTTTTAATTCAATGGTTCGATCCCAAACCTTAAAGTGCTTGAGTGAGGTGATCAAGATTTCGAATTCTATCACCGTCTTGAAAAGCTTGAATTCTATCAAAGCGGCTCGATGGTCATACGTCTCATTAGAGGGGTGGAATGTTCACTGATTTGGAAATCAAAACCTCAATTACTAATAATTAATTAAAAATTAATTTCCTAATCATTATCTTGTAAAAAAAAAAAAAAAAAACTTCCGAGATTTATAAGGTTAATCACGTCCGTCGATTCCGTTCCATCAGATGATAAAAAAACAGCATCTCCGTCATTGACGCCACCTGACTATCCTCTCCTCCCTGGACGCCGTAGTTTTATCCAAGAAATGGTCCAGCCCAAGGCGTTTGAATCTGTGGCGGCGGAATTTTGAAAGGAGGATTAAAAGTTAAAATTCTCACTTTTTTACTCCTTCAACTTTTTGATTTTAAAATTTTTTGCTTATAAATTATTTTTTTATTTTTAAATTATAAAAAAATATATTTTTAATTTTTTTATCAATTTAATTAATAAAAAATCAAAATATTTTAATATTAAAAATATTAAAATATCTAATAATAATTATATGATAAATTTAATAAAATTAAAATTTACACCATATCTCACATTTAATGATTATAATTGGATATATTGATATTTTTAATGTTAAAATATCATGATTTTTTTTCTTTTAATTTATTTTTTAGTTTTTATTAATTAAATTTATCTATATTTAGATATTTTGTATCTAAACTTATTATATATATAGTTTTTAAATTTATATAATATAAATAGATTTAATAAATTAAATTAATAAAAAACTAAAAATTTTATATTTTTTATAATTTAAAGATAAAAAAACAGTAATTTAAAAATTAAAAATATTTAAAATTAAAATTTTAAGTATTAAAAATTTGTCATTGAACCGACAATAAAAAGGTAAACGTTACAGATGACCAAAAAGAAGAGGTAGAATATGCTAGGGAGGAGACAGGAGAAAGCTGGTTGGTTGCAATTGTCAATGGTCTGTTTACTGTTTCTTCCACTAATTATTGATGAGATGGGTTGATTTTTTAAGGTCAGAAATGAAATGGGTCGATTTGATTGCTAGCTAACATTGGTGTTTCAGCAGAAAAATCCGACGACGGTGTAAGAGAGAGGAAGGAGAAACATGGGTTGGCTTCCTTGTTCTGGGAAGGGTAAAGCTAAATCGAAGAAGAAGATGAAGCAGACGACACTTGATCAGGTGAAGCCCAGTTCAGGTATA